AAAAAAGTAAAGAAACGAGGAACTTCGAATCCACCTAGGTCAGGAAGGCCGGCGTCTGGGCAACGGGGGATCGCGTTGGTGCTGCCGCAACGAAGGCGGTGCTGTGCCAGAACTTGTTGGTGGGGTGGCGGCGCGTGGGGGAGGAAGGCGCGAGGGCGCTGTGTGGGACACGTGCAGAGGGGCACTGCCATGCACCTGCCATGGGCCAGTCCCGGCTGACAGGGGTCAGTAATCCTGGCTGACAGTGGAAGGATAGGAGAGCGATGTGGGGACGGTCAGCGGGCGGGATCTGGRCGTCGCTGTTATACCAGAATTATCAACCGATCAGGGGCRTTGTCCTCTGGTTTTAGATACGGAACCCAAGAATAGGGAGAGGACTTCGACTGAGCTTGGAGATGCTGATTGAAGCACTTGGTGTACGCTGCATCGACATTCGGGGTGCTGTGCCTATGTTTGRGACGACGGATTGACTGATTACGTTCTTCCTTTGCTATTGGTGCGTTGGTGCTGCTGGATGAGATGTTTCAGCCTGCGTTTGGAGTTGACTGGAATTGCACGTGAGCCCATAGGTTGGTGACCCTGTTTCAGTTATGTCACGGGCGTTCTGTTCATCGGTGGAAGACTTGGATTGTAACAATCGGCTTCACACGGTTTTGTCGTAGTTCGTGTTTTCCAGTTAATTGTGTGTTGAGATATATGAATCATTGTTTTAGATTAGGTGTTCGTGGATTGGTAATCTATGGGGTTCCGCGTGGGTAATTAGTGTTGCGCATGGTGGGTAGCTAGTGGTATCATAATCTGTAGATTTGTTGCTCCCCTGTTACGGTCATGTAGAGAAGGAATTTTGTGAGTATTATTGGGAACACTGACTATAGGTGTTTAGGGTAAACACTGCGGATTGGAATTACCTAGATTAGGGTTACTTAATAACAACGTTGGTTTGCTGTTGGCAGCTATAGGTGTTTAGTGTAGAGATKATAGTTTTGTGAATGATCAAGTTACTTAGGGTATAAACCACCGTTTGGTTACGTTTTTAAAAGATTGGTTTAGTTTTGGATTTTGCTTTAGGCATTTTGGATTTCTCATTTTTAAATTGGTTGGATGAATTTCATTTAGAATGGGGGTGTCTAACGATAGTGGTTCGCCGTTGGAATAGATTATGTCTGGCAATTTTGTTTGGATTGTGACTGGGATAGGTTGTTGTGATTTCGTTGTGGGCTGCGGCGGGGATAGGTCTGGTCGGGAGTGCCTCGCTTAGCCCATTTGGCCGCAGCAATGATGTAAGGGACGCCAGGCCCGATTCCTGGCTATATGAATGAAGAGTGGTTTTCTGTAAAAAAAAAAAAAAAAGGAAGGCCCTCATGTCACCAGTGCTTTGAGGAATGTACCTGTATTTCTGATATCGACGTAACGACATCAACAGGTCAAAGTGACATCCAATTAGACACGACTTCAACCAGAGCAGTTAGCACAGAAAAAGCCTGGAGAATGACGAAGACGAGCATAGGAAATGACGAGGGAGAAAGACACAACACGCAAGATCGCAWCCAAAACCCGAACGCGACGTTGATAAAATATGAAGTACAGAAAAACGTCCGGCACGATGGCGTGAGGACCCGACCAGTTTCGGCTGGCCGCCTACCAGCCTCATCAGGGGTCTTTGTCGGTGCCTAGGATAGAGYGATGACTGCCATTTATCTTGCATGAGAAACTAAGTCAAACTTCTAGATCTTACGACCTACACTAAAAAAGCTAAAAAGAACACTAGAATATCGCAAAACCGTAGAGTCATAGACCCAGAAGTAAACAGCCACCATGAAAAACAACGGTTCAAACTCCAATCATACGCCTACGTCGCTTCGAGAAAAAAACACCACGCCACACTATCGTATCCGAATACCGATTCCCAAATCTTCGTAAGCCTTCCATTCACCATATATTGTAGGACCAAGGTTCGAATCAAGCCCAACCTTTCAGAYACCTAAGCCCGAATAATAGAGGCAGGCCCACGACTCATCCAACCCGTACCATTACAGACAACCCCAAARAACCTCGAGCTTCCAAAGACCCATAGACCGACAACCCCCTAAAAAAGTTGGGATCATCCCCTTCTGGCATTCAGTCGGCGTCCCCACCCTGTCAGCACCGGGATCCATTCATCCCAAAACCCTCCATGTTTCCTCGAGAAATTGACTAGTGCACTGTCAAACAAATCATCTAGATAATGTCTTTTCCACAACTCTACCTTAAGTCTAAACAGAAAAGGTAATTCAGAGCCAGGAACTGTATTGAACACTTTGGCACGGTGAAGAAAGGAATTAATGACCGCAARCTTTTGTTGCCTACTTGAAAAAGAAGAGTAATCTTGTATGTTCAGGAAAACCAGTTCGTCCTCAATCTTTCCACGCTGATTCTTGTGAAGTGGCATGCAAACCAATCCTGCAGAATTGTCACAAATTTTCAATACACAGCSTAGAAAGTCCCACCAGCGGTCTCGATCAGTCCGTTCAAGCACCAGATTTTCGTCGTAACARTTGGCGAATGTCTCAATCAAACCCATCCCTTTCTTGAGTGACTCAACATCGGCTCGTTTGCATATCACGAAAACTGAAAYGTCATCCACAAGTCTGAACCCTCGAAACAGCCGTCAGTCCCTACCCAAGGAAGAAAGAAAAAGGAACTCATTGTAGGCGCATRACAAGCACGCCAACKCAGGACTARAAGACTTCCCCATAGGTATCCYGACCGCTTGTTGGAACACARATCCAGAAGCAACTACAAATGTGTTTCCAAGTTCGAAACGCACGAAGGCAAAGATAKTCTCAAAYGAGAGAAGTTTYCATCCTTCCTCACAGCGTCCTTTCGTCATCTTCGCGGCCTTGCCCAGACAATGCACAGACACACCTTTGTAATCTTCATTTCTCCAATAATCGATGACCCACATCAAGGCGTTAAGAATAGATAGATGAGGCAGATTGGAAAACATTTCCTTGACATCAAAAGATGCTCCGACCAGCGTACATTCCTTCCGCAAACTCTGATTGATTTGCTTGATCCTAGTAAGAAGTTCATCAGTGRACCGAAGATTGAAGTTCGTCGTAGAAGGAAGTTTCTACAGAGGAAGATTAATTGCTTGTGATAACCGTTTCCCTCCCATAGAAGAACATTAAGAATGAGAAGGACATATGGGTCTCCACCGGCCTACATCCTTATGCTTTGGGAGACAGTAAGCTCGCCCAAGCTTCCCCTTCGCATCCCATCTCCCCASCTTGTTCAGTTCATTGCCTATGTACTCCTTCTTACATCGAGCCAAAACGTCAGATTCGCTATGTGGACAGCGGGTCAAGGAAGGATTGTCCAGGAATAACTTCCTCATTCCACCATGATAGATAACGGGACAACACACATAAGTATCCCCCATATTGTGGTCTAATGGACAACATACTAATCCGTCCAAAAGGGTGAGATACTGAGTCAGATCATCCACCGATTTCACACACCCAGAATGTCCAGCATTAGACAAGTTGGTGGGAGTCAAGGAGGTCACAGAAGACGAAGACAAGGAGGAATGAACGACAGAAGATGAACGGAAAGAAGGARAAGAAGTAGAAGGTTTGAAACAAGCACGTARTTCATCACTCCTGATCGTAGCCTCATCGAGAGAAGGGAGAGAGATCAGACTTCGAAAGRCAGACATAATCTCATTCTTCAAGTTAGCACAAGATTTCGACTGTGATGGACGTAAGATATTTTTTGAGTTCTTCATCCACCCCGAAAACACCCTACAATCATTTARTYTGAAAGAAACATGACCTTCAACCCGRGAGAAACTGGACGGGGCATTGGCACATGTACAATCTCTCTCTCCCATTCTCGAGTACCGCCGATAATTATGAATGTAATCAGCCATTGTTCTGTTTCGTTTCCATACGATCCGCATTCTGTGAACTAACATCTCCCTCCATCCTACATTGATATTCATGGTACTCACCAGTCGCGAACAGAGTCGCCGCACCGCACATTTATTAATTGCATCATCAAACACGATTCGAACAACCAACCGGCATCTCACCTGAATGTGAAAACGCGTCCTAATAGCATTAGAAAGAATAAACCTGAGCCGCGACCTAGTACGTTTCTCACTAAAGGCCCGAATAGCRTTGAAAGCATATAYCAGATCATCAAGACACCAAGTGCGTAACAAGGAACGATCCCCCGGGGCACTCAAAAGTGCAGCTAGCGGCTTCTTCAGACCCAACGACCGGAACATGAAGGGGACAACAAGCGAGAAAAGCAACGTACCACCTTTTGTGATCCATTCTCGAAAATGCCGCAGTTCTCCACATTCAAATTCACATGACACAATCGACCCTCCATACTTGCGCTTCAAAACCTTCCAATCGYCAACCAGAGTATCCCCCCCGTGACAAACCACTGCGCAACTACTTTGTTTGCGATCGATACAGCCGTCCAAGATCCTAATCAAACTATTAGATACAATCCCAGTTGATGATCGAAAACAGGCAAGGGACCTATTCATAGACACCACCACTTCAGATTTACTATCCTTCACCTGTCTCTGCCTCATTCTCTCGCGTAGCCCTCGTCTCTTCCGCTTCGATTTCTTCGGTTTATCTCGCACATTAAGGGAAGAAGAAAATAAACAAATATAAAATTTCTCACAGGTCTCCAAATCATCCACAGAACAGCTGCACAAAGGTATAAGGACATATTTTAGGGACCCATGACTTCGTAACCACCGATATAGCTTCTCATTCCGTCTCTTCCCATCACATCCAACAGGATTATTTGTACGAGATACATGCTCTCCCCATCTGGTAAACAGATCACGCTTCGTACTCCCAACATACACATGCCGACTCCAAGGTGAAACTAAGGCATACACGAGTGTACCATTGCATACTTCAAAACATAATCGCTAGCAATAAGCAACTGAACATGATCAATCAATTTAGACCCCCAATGAATCTGCCCCAGAAGAATCAATTGCAGCGTAATGGAACAAAATAGCACATTCAGTATCTTACAAYGTAACAAATCAACAGAGCGGGAACGAATCCYWGAGCATTGCCTCGCTAATTTCCAAAGAGTTGCTGCGTTCGGGGATAACTTCACGACGAACCGGCATCTCCACTAGCCTCTTTACTGTTTTCATCATCGTTTGCCCCCGACGCGTCATTACTATCACCTATACAAATACCTTTCCCTTTTGCTTCACCACGTTGACCACCATCAAATGCCAAGGGTACACGCCGATTGGCCAGTTCTTCCTTGGTTTCTTCCAGCTTAGTGTACGGTATGCTCTCTTTCTCGCACATGGCCTTGATTTCGTCCTTCTTCTTGGGTTTCAAAAACTTCCTTRTCTCCTTCAGAAAAGTTTCTCGGTCYTTAGCTCGCACGTGTGGACTCTGACGCGCCTTTCCTCTGCCGGACTTGCCCGCTGAGGCAATCACGACTGCATCCATCTTCTCTTTCAAATTTGTTCCGGCAAGCTGCCTCTTCTCCATCTCCAGACGAGCTAGTGACTCCTTCACCTTCTCGAGTTCTTGTTCCGCTTCAYGCCTCCCGTTCAACTCCCGTGCCCTTGACTCCCTCAACGCTGTAACTTCCATAGCATGCCTCTCAATAACTCCTTTCACGTACTCGTCCCGTTGAGCGGCCACCTGCGTGCCATTGTCAAGAGTCTCGTGAATATGTTTGCACGGACTCGGAGTCACCGCCAAGCCCCGACGAGTACGCTTGACTCCCGGCCTTAGTGCTTCGTCTTTCCACAGATCGGCCTGCGCCTGCGCCAGCTCCTTAGACTTCCGGAGCTCGTGAGTCTCTCTTTCCAACGCAGAGAGTCGCATCTCCAATTTCGATCTCTCCTCTCGTTCTTTTCGCAAGTGTTCCATCGCATCYAACTCCAGTGTGGCTTGTGTGGTAATCGTGKGACTGGTCCTCTCTTGCATACGCTTGTTGAGCTCGCCAATCTCTTCTCGTAGTTTTGAGACTCCTTCATCTGCCTCCTTACCCTTCTTACMCAACAGTATCTCGCACATCAAATCTAGCTTACTTGTCATCTTCTCACTCATCGCCAAATGGAATTCTTCACGATCCTTTTTCTCCTTGAGCCTTTTTTCCTCCTCTACTTTCTCCCGCTTCAACTTCTCTTCTTCATCCTTCTTCTGGTTTTCACGAGCCACCTCAGCATCATGCCGACTCTTTATTTCGGCGACTTGCCCCTCAAGTGTGAAAACTCGATTGCGAAGCCATCCGTTATCATGGTGCTGACCGCCATGGTACTGCCCTCCGTGATACTGACGATCAGTGTTACTAGCACCACCCAAATTGCTGTTAACATCAGTAGGAAGAGTAAGTATCGGTTGCTGAACAGGGACAATCGCTGTACTGGGTTTAGACGGGACAGGATTCCCACTCATCCTTCTATCAGGAAACGGACAGAACCGAGAGAAGGGCCCGAGTTGGCCACAATTGTAGCAGCTCCGATTGGAAGAAGAGGAAGGATAGTTAGAATGGTTGGACGCCATCTCTGCGGAATGTCAACGAAAGAAAGAAACGAAGCCACTCAACTGTAGTGCAATTCCTACTTCGGTTACTTCGTGTAACAAAGTATTTCTGATATCGACGTAACGACATCAACAGGTCAATGTGACATCCAATTAGACACGACTTCAACCAGAGCAGTTAGCACAGAAAAATCCTGGAGAATGACGAAGACGAGCATAGGAAATGACGAGGGAGAAAGGCACAACACGCAAGATCGCAAACAAAACCCGAACGCAACGTTGATAAAACATGAAGTACAGAAAAAGGTCCGGCACGGTTTCGGCTGGCCGCCTACCAGCCTCATCAGGGGTCTTTGTCGGTGCCTAGGATAGAGCAATGACTGCCATTTATCTTGCATGAGAAACTAAGTCAAACTTCTAGATCTTACGACCTACACTAAAAAAGCTAAAAAGAACACTAGAATAACGCAAAACCGTAGAGTCATAGACCCAGAAGTAAACAGCCACCATGAAAAACAACGGTTCAAACTCCAATCATACGCCTACGTCGCTTCGAGAAAAAAACACCACGCCACACTATCGTATCCGAATACCGATTCCCAAATCCTCGTAAGCCTTCCATTCACCATATATTGTAGGACCAAGGTTCGTCCTCCCCGGAAGTGGTAGCGGTGTCTGCTCTTATCATCACCCCTATCACCGCATCGGCAAAAAAAAAAAAAAAAAAAAAAAAAAAGGTTCGAATCAAGCCCAACCTTTCAGACACCTAAGCCCGAATAATAGAGACAGGCCCACGACTCATCCAACCCGTACCATTATAGACAACCCCATGATACTTCAAAAAACCTCGAGCTTCCAAAGACCCATAGACCGACAACCCCCTATGTACCTGGCCAGGAAGTGAGGAACATGAAACATGTCTTTTTTCCTTTTTGTTTCTTGTTGTGAGGTCCTTGTAGTGCCATGCCAGCCAGGCAGGGAGTGGAAGCTAGCTGCCTCCCTTCATTCAGTTCCAGTCAAGAACTGTAACATCCTGTATCGGACCGCAATCACAGCATAAGGGATGTTTTTTTTTTTTTTTTT